ATTGTTTTATCAGTTGGGTGCCCTAGCTTTTAATAATATTTTACAATCATTCTTATAAAGATTAGAATGCATTGTTTTATCAGTTGGGTGCCCTAGCTTTTAATAATATTTTACAATCATTCTTATAAAGATTAGAATGCATTGTTTTATCAGTTGGGTGCCCTCACTGTTAATAATATTTTACAATCATTCTTATAAAGATTAGAATGCATTGTTTTATCAGTTGGGTGCCCTAGCTTTTAATAATATTTTACAGTAATACTTGTAAAGATCAGAATGCATTGTTTTATCAGTTGGGTGCCTACACTGTTAACAATTTCTGGCCTAAAAACAGCAATGTGCTAACTGGAGTTTTTGTAATAATAGCATTTATCAGAGAAAGTTATTATACAAAGTAAACATTATAGGGCTTAAATTAGAAAAAAGAAGAAAAATAATTTGTTCATATTTTTGAAACATTAAAGTAGCTATAGCCTCAAAAGATCAAATATTTATATGCTTAATTCTAGACCTCCTGGACTTTTACTTGCTAACAACACAGTTACAAGTACTGTATTAGTTATCCTGTTTCCAAATAAATTTTTTTTATATCATTAATAATGTATAAAACAAACATCCATTGCATTTAGAAATTTTTGGTGTTGTGTCTGACACGAGGCATTTAGCATATTAAGCAAAACAAGAGGGAATCCTCAATAGCCATGTCACTTGAAATTCCTTTTGGCAGTATTATAGTAAATTAATCTATGAGACCTTTTTTCCTTTTTGTTAGCTATATTTTTGTGCACCAGTAATATAAAGCGTGGGTTGCACATATACTCATTTTGATTTTATTGCTCATCAGGATCTCTACCAGCCTACCCTCAAATTGAAATTCTTTTAGGCAGGATTAGAGTAAATTAATATATGAGACCTTGAGCATTGTAAAATGCATCAATCGAAAGGGTTTGACCTTCTGAGTTCAAAACTGTAATTAGATGTCAAATTCGTCAAGAGATGATGGAGTTGTGAGCTAAAAATTTTTACTTCAAAAACGCAAACTCACAGCTGTTCTGTGAGCCACTATGCTGTGGCTAAAAATGGACAGATGACATATTTCCAGTATACCAAAGTCATTCACTTCCTTTAAATATGACACTAAATGTTTTGTAAAGTAAAACAAAGGTAGACAGAAAGCTGTCTAAGATACCAAATTGCTGGTATCTTATGGTTATTCACCTTATCTAAGTTTGACGTAAGACATAACTTCTTTTCAGGCACACTATGCTATTATATAAATTGTAAAAAACACTAAAAACAATGTTTTTTTGCACAATGAAAGGTAAAATATTTATTATTAGCTACAACCAATTAGTTTTAGTAACACAATTACCATCATCAGGGCTAATATGTACAGTATAGTATCAACAACTAGTATCTACAATGTGCCCCCAGTGACAAATAGTATGTCTGTGGACATACAATACTAGAAACTGGGTTTCAATACTCGTTGTGGGCAAAGCATGGTATCTACAGTGTAGTATCAACAACTAGTATCTGACTATTTTGAAGTAATCAAACAAATATTGATTTAAGTTTTATGCCATTGTTGTTTAAACCCTTATCAATTGTTTTGAACTTTTATTTATAAGATAATATTTTAACTGCAATAGAAAGATGGATTATTTCTCATTTTTATACAAGTTTTATGTAAGAACCATCAGTGCATTTAAAGAAGAATGGGACTCTTATTATTCTTACTGAAGATTTCAGAGTAGCAATAACATTTTCTTTTAAAACTACTTATTAACTTGCCTTACTAATAATCTCTTTTGAAACCAATCATCACTTTAATCAGTAATTGTATTATTAATATTGCATGAAGGTGGTGAGGAAAAGGTTACTTTGACAAAGAACAAGCCAGTTCCTAAAACAGCTTATGGCTCCAGCTTCATCATTCGAGAGGTTGGCTTATTTGTAGCAGTTTATACAAAGCATGGGGTAACAGTACAGTGGGATAAAGGCACTAGAGTTTATATACGAGTGGAGACAAAATGGAAGGGGAGGGTAAGTATCCAGCAAATGATATAAAGGTAGTGTTATAAAAAATATGCTCACTTTTGACAAGCAAATCTTCTTGTTTGATTGTTTATGAGTATCTTTTTAATTGAGTGTATGATATCTAGTTTCAATATACTAAAATGACTTTATAAATGTTGTTTTATGTTATACAGTGACAGTTTTGTGTAAGGCCTTTTGTACATAATAAAAACTAAATATTTTACACTATATATCTCAGCCTCTAATCATGTACATAATTTCTGTTCATATAGCTTATTAATATTCATATTTTGTAAGATTAATATCACCCAGTGATCTCTCATACAATGTAGAAATAAAATTTTCAGGACAGTTATTTTAGGAAAAATGTATTTTTAAACATGTTTTTTTTATTGTCACAGCTTTTCTTTACATATTCTAAAAACTGTTGAAGATTAGTAGTTTTATTGCTTACTGTGTAATAGATTTGTCTTGCCCATCATCGTTACAATGGCATGAGATGTTGTTATATGCATTAGTAACTTAAAGTATATAACATAAATTAAGCATGGGGGGTCTAGGAAATTTCTTTGCTACTCTAATGGGTCCTAGATTAGGAAAGTTTGAGGATCTCTATGAGAATATAAAAAAATAATCAATATTGTTATCAAGATTATTAATATGTTTATGGAGATAGATGTAATGCTAATATTTATGATATTTTACTGATACTAATAATTGTAATGTGATTATTAATATCCTTACAGAGTGGGATAAAATGAAAATGTATTTAATGTTATTGCTAAAAACAGTAGTTTTATTAAGATTAATAGTATCTTTACTGAATGGGATGTAATGACTGATTTAAAACCTTAAATGATCATAACCAACTACCTTACAATCTAACTGAAAAATAAAACTTTTTTTATAGTTTTTTTACTTACATATGAGCAAATCGTAGCTGCATGTTAATATTTAAACAATTCAATGTTCCATCTATAGTTGAAAGGATTATGTGGAAACTTTGATGATGATCAATCCAATGACTTCCGTACTCCTGCGGGCGGACCGTCTGAAGCACGCCCAATTGTATTTGGTAACAGCTGGAAGGTCCATGAAAGCTGTCCTTATCCTAGAGATATCAAAGACACTTGTCTGTTACATCCTCATAGAAGAACGTGGGCCTTAAACAAGTGTGGTGTTCTAAAGTCTGATGTTTTTAAGCCCTGCCACTCAGAAGTTTCTCTAGATCCATACTATGAAAGGTAAATGAAATCAAAGAGAAAGAAACTTTACAACAACAACATGGAAACTTTGTAATGCATGAACTGTCTTGTTACCATTAGAATATAGATGTGAACCTTTTTTTTATTTTCTATATAAAATTAATTTGGGGCCAGAATTATATAACAAATAAGTAATCTTGGAATTCTCTGTAAATAATATTTTCATTAGAGGGTGTGGAATTTTTGCTACACATTAATAATAACTCCTTATTGTAAGTACTTAATCAAATATTAACATTCTAACAATATAATGCTAATTAATTAGATTTCTATATATCTTGTGGGCACAGCATAGATAGCCCATTGTGTAGCTTGGCCCCTAACAACAAACAAAACAGAGAATGAATATAGCTATTTTATTTCATTAATATTAACTTCTGATCATGACAAGTTACCTACATAGATCAGAATTAAAAATTTACAACTAAATAATGAGCATAGCTAATATAATTGTTTTAAGTCTAAGCAACATCAGGAAAACTTTGTAAAGTAATTTCTTTTGCAACAAATTGTTTATACCAATTTACACTCTTAGAAAAACCAGGAAACACTGAGAAAAGTTAGGAAATGATATGTAAAGCATCTTTACTTGTAAGAAATCTTTTATACCAACTCAAACTCTTACAGTACCAAGAAACACATTGTCAATTAATATGAAGCATTTTCTACTGTAAAAATTCTTTCATACCAACTCAAAAATATTAGAAAATGCTTTATCATGCTGACTAATAGCAAGGTTATCTACCTAACAATTCACTGTAATCTGTATTGTTTACTCTGTGAATTTTTAGTTCCCATCTATGTAGGTACATTGCTTTGGTTAACCTGCAGCTTTGTGAACCAACTTTTCCTAGCTGTACTAAGATGCACTTTGTTTCTTAATCTAAAGCAATTTCTCTTACCACTACCAGAAAATGCTTTGTTCATCTGTGTGTTACTTACTTGTATGGGTTTGCTTCGCATCACAAGAAATGCAATTAAAACTTATTTAATTCAAAAAGTTATAACATTTGGTTTTAAAGAATGTTAAGTAAGTATTTATCATATGTTGTAATTTACATATAAGTGATATCTGTTTTCTTTGTTTGTGTTTAAATTTTTTGATAGGTGTGTGTTTGATGCTTGTGCTTGTGACTCGGGAGGAGACTGTGAGTGCTTATGCACAGCCCTAGCAGCTTATGCACAAGAATGTAACTTTCGTGGAGTACCAATCAAGTGGAGATCCCAGGAGTTATGTCGTAAGTACTTTAGTTGGTTTTAGTATATGAATATGTAGTAAAATTGTGACAGATAGTTTATAATACCTGTTAACATCATAAGGTTCAATATATTTATATGAAAAGAAGATTACAATTATGCACAATCTAAAAGAGTCATCTGGTATCCCAAAAGAGATGTTTAGCACTGCACAATTGAGTGCAAGTGTGTTGTATAAATATATCTTGCTGCTTAATTTGTTCATACATAAACTAACTTAGACATTTTTTTATGCCTATATAAACTATATATAAGTTATTTTTGATATTTTTAACTGAACTTATATATATATATATAATTTCTTGGCTATTAATGTGGGCTCTAGGTTGGGCAAATTGGGCATTGTCTGTGAGAATATAATAGGAAGAATAGTTTTATTAAGATTAATGATATATGTTAAGTTTACTAGTATATGTTTTAAGTTTGATGAAACTGTCAATATGTGTTATTATAGTCAACTTAGCTGTACATAATTAGTACTACCAGTTGAATATCAAAATAAATACTAACATCAGCTCACTTGAGGTTAAGTCACCATGTAATCACTATCACACGTTCAACATTAACAAAATCACTACTACTGGTTAATTCATGACATAATCACTACTACTGGTTAATTCATGACATAATCACTACTACTGGTTAAATCATGACATAATCACTACTACTGGTTAAATCATGACATAATCACTACTACTGGTTAATTCATGACATAATCACTACCACTGGTTAAATCATGACATAATCACTACTACTGGTTAAATCATGACATAATCACTACTACTGGTTACATCATAGCATAATCACTACTACTGGTTAAATCATGACATAATCACTACTACTGGTTAAATCATGACATAATCACTACTACTGGTTAAATCATGACATAATCACTACTACTGGTTAAATCATGACATAAACACTACTACTGGTTAAATCATAACATAAACACTACTACTGGTTAAATCATAACATAATCACTACTACTGGTTAAATCATAACATAATTACAACTACTGGTTAAATCATAACATAATCACCACTACTACTGGTTAAATCATGACATAAACATCACTACCACTGGTTAAATCATAACATAATCACTACCACTGGTTAAATCATGACATAATCACTACTACTGGTGGTTAAATCATGACATAATCACTACTACTGGTGGTTAAATCATTACATAATCACTACTACTGGTTAAATCATGACATAACCACTACTACTGGTTAAATCATGACATAAACATCACTACCACTGGTTAAATCATGACATAATCACTACCATTGGTTAAATCATAACATAATCACTACTACTGGTTAAATCATGATATAATCACTACTACTGGTTAAATCATGACATAATCACTACCACTGGTTAAATCATGACATAATT